CCACCCAGCTCCCGTCATCCTGTACCCTCACCGTGAAGGACCTGCTGCTGTCCGGCAGCTCGGAGACGGTAGGTGGCTGGCACATCTCCTCCACACCCCTGCCCACCCATCCATCACTCCATCCACCCTCCCTGATACCTCTGCAGCCATCCCTCCATTCCTCCCCCTGTGCCTCTGGGTTTATCTCTCCATCCCCGGTGTCTCTGCATCTACTTGTGCTGCAGCTGTGGGTTGCAGAGGGCAGACTTCCATTGTCCTGCGCCTTGCACAATCATTCACCCTCCTCCCAGGGAGGAGCGCAGGGGCATGGGGTGAACGGTGCAGCGCTTTGGGGGCATAACGCATTTGTGGCCTTGCAGCAGCAACAACAACAGATGAACCCGGTGCTGCTGAGACAGGGCCCTGGGCACTGCCAGGAGCTGGTCCTGACCGAGGATGAGAAGAAGCTGCTGGCCAAGGAGGGCATGACACTGCCCACCCAGCTGCCCCTCACCAAGGTACAGAGAAGCCCAGTCAGACTGGGAGGTCCCTGCTGAGCTCAGCACTGTGGACTGGGCTGAACTGGGCCCATGAAAGGGACTGGGAGGCAGAGGAGACTATGATGGGGGAGACAGTGTCTGAACAGCCCCTGAGTGGCCAATAGGCAGACCTGGGTGCAGGATGGGCCCAGGCCATTCACATCATCTCCCAAAGCAACTTGCCTTGGGTGCGGGGAGCTCTCTTGGTGACATCTGGGTTTAGAGGGCATGTCCTTTGGGCAAGGGTCTGTACTCCTGGGTCCTCTCACTGTCTTGATGTGACCTGCAGTGAGTCACAGCCCCTCTCCGTGCATCAGTGTCCTCTTCACACAGTGATGCTCTCTTTGGTGGGGGAGGGAGCTAGGAGACCACATGGCAGAGCCTCCCCTGGGAGAGCCATTGAGTGGCCCAGTATGTACCACTCTCTAAGGGGAGGAGGTGTGGGGGGACACAGCCAGGGAGCCCCACAGCCATTGCTAATGCCTTGGATTACCCTTGGCTCCTGCAGTATGAGGAGCGGGTGCTGAAGAAGATCCGCAGGAAGATCCGGAACAAGCAGTCAGCTCAGGAGAGCCGGAAGAAGAAGAAGGAGTACATTGATGGGCTGGAGACCCGGTGAGGAGTCCCCGTACCCTCCCAGGCCTACAGCTCGGCTTCTGTGCCAGTGACAAGAGTTTTCCAGCTGTGCCAGGCTGTGTCATTCTGGGCCCAGCGCCACGTGCCTCATGCAGCCAGTTGCCCCAAGGCAGAGCCAGTGTCAATGCAGAATAGGTCCCTGGGCATGTCCATGGGCTCCACGCGGTGCCACAGCGTCAGGCTACTCACAGACCAGGAGCAGCACAGCCACAGAACGTGGTCCTTTCCCCCCAGGGCTGAAATCCATGGCTGCTCAGCTGGTACCACCCCATCAGCCAGCTACAGGGGCCTGCCCTGCCCCTGCCCCTGCCTGCCCCTGCACTCTGCAGCCCCCAGCCCAGCCCTGCTCCTTCATTGCCTCCACCCCCGTGACTCACTCCTCTGCTCGGTTCCTCCCCAGGATGTCGGCCTGCACAGCCCAGAACCAGGAGCTGCAGAGGAAGGTGCTGCACCTGGAGAAGCAGAACTCGTAAGTCCTGGCTCCTGCCCTGCTGGGGAAGCCGGGCCCAGCTGTTGGGTGGGAGGGTAAAAGGGGCTGTGGCTGCCCCCATCTAAACTTGAACACCCAGGATGAGGCAACACAGACAGATTTACCCAGGGACAGGGAGTCTTGAGGCAAAGGTTATACTCTGCACCCCAGCCAGGGCAGATTTCCCCTGGTTCAAGGAGCTGCATCATGTGGTTGTGGGGTTTTCCTGAGCTCTCCTTCTCCTGTGTCCATGGTTCCCGAGACCTCAGTGAACCTGGGTGGTGCATCCCAAAACCCACTGCCAAGTTCTGACCCATGCCCACCCTGCCCTGAAGCCTGGGTGTGAGGGTGGCATTTTCATTGAGGGCTTTGATCTCCATTTGCCCATGCCCAGAGCAATGGGGCTGAGCCTGCTCCCCAGCCCAGAGCCCCACAGATCCTCCCCCAGCAATGAGGCAGTGAGACTCCCACAGCAACCCCATAACCAGGGTCTCTTCCACTCACAGATCCCTGCTGGAGCAGCTGAGAAAGCTGCAGGCCCTCGTGGTGCAGTCAAGCAACAAGGCTGCCCAGACAGGCACCTGCATCGTGGTGAGTGACAGGAGCTCCCTTCTCTGCTAACACCCTGGCAGGGCTGGGGGACCCCAGCTGACACCCTGAGGTCCCTCTAGCTCCCTTCCCTGCTCCAGGATCCCCATCTCCAAGTCCCCATGAGATGCCCTCAGTGGCTCCTGCTGGTGACCTCCTCCCTGCCAGCCCCTTGTCTTTTTGGGTGCCTACAAACTTGAACCAGGGGAGATGAGGCCATTGGTCCATGCTGCTCAACCCAGCAATAAGCTTGTGGGGCCTCAGCTTTGGGCTGCTGTGAGCCTGGCTTCAGAACCAGAAATCTGTGGCCAGGAGGTCCTCGCCAGCATGGCACACCCCTACAGGGGTCTTGCCAGTGGTCATCTCACTGAATCAAGTTCCCTCCCCACTGCCCCTTAGCACGAAGAACCCAGCTCTCGGGGGCTCCACTGACCTCTGCCTCCCTCATCTTGCAGGTCCTGCTGCTCTCCTTTGCCCTGATCGTGTTCCCCTCCATCAGCCCTTTTGCCCACAACAAGGCAGAGACTAGCAGTGACTTTGGGCCAGTGAGAGGTGAGTGTCGGCCATGTGCAGAGCACAAAAGCGGACCGTGCACCTTGCCCCTGACTCCAGAGATCCCAGGTGGGAAGACCTCCTTGCTGTGCATGCAGCTGGGAGACAGGAGAATCAGCTCAGTGCCTCCGTGCCTCAGTTTCCCTGTCTGTCAGATGAGGTTGATAGTAATGTTGTGAGTGTTTCTGAAGAGGAGTGGGGCTGATGTTACCCTCTGCCCCTTTCCACGGGATGCCATGCTGGGGAGAGGCCGTTTGTTCCATAGAGTGAAAGACCACAGTCCTGGCTGAGCTAATTAACAATCTCTTGGTCAGTTTTTGGCTGGTATTAACCCCAGAGTGCTCTCTTAATCCCATCCCAACCCACCTCTCTCAAGTCCTCCTGTAGCTTGAATGGGGACAGGATTTCTTTTCACTTCCTGTCCTAAAGTTTTCCCATCCTACAATTAAGCAACTGCTGAATGCCTCCCCAAGTACTGGGCCAGCTATAGCTGCATGCGCTGTTAGACAGCTTTCTCTGTTCTTCCCCAGAAGTGGCTGCATTGTGGTGCTGAGTGAGGCAGTCCCTGTGCTCCGTCAGGGGCTGGGTAATTCTCCCAATTACATAGGGAAGGGCAGGGAGGGATCAGTGACGGGCAGGTGTCATGGAGGAGCTCTGCTGATGGATCTGGTGTCCCCCCTGCCCCATGGCAGTGTTCTCCAGGTCTCTCCACAATGACGACTCCTCCCGCGTGGTCTATGCCCTGGGGAAGGATGGTGAGGAGAGACCCAAGGAGCCGGAGAAGCCCCTGTGGACAGAGTACGCCGAGGAGAGACAGCCCAAGCGCCAGGGCGCCCTCCGCAAATTCCTTAGCAGCCACCTGCTCCCTGAGCCGGCAGCAGAGACCACGGTGAGCAACGGGACAGAGGCCCTGCCGCAGGACGGACACTCAGACTTGGAGGGGCTGAGCCATGATGACCCTGCTGTTGGGCACGGCCTGGCCTCACTGGCCTGGACAGATCCCGGGCAGCCCAGCCAGGTGGTGCTGGAGCCAGCAGAGGAGCTGTGAGCACCAGCCCCTGTCTCCCCCTCACGTCAGCAAGGACTGAAGGAGGGCATGAGTGGAAGGGCTGGGGCCTCATCCTGGGCCTGCTAGGGTTGGGGCTGGGACTGGGTGGGGGGGCCGGGTGTGGGTATGTAGAGAGCGTGGAGAAACAGAGATACAGAAGAGGGGTTAGATGCATCTGTCTTCTGAGTGGTATTAGCTGGCTCTCCAGCTGTAGACACCAAGTAGCGGGTACCTGGGGAGCTTGCCCAGCCCAGCCTTGGGCAGTCACCATTTGACCCAAAACCACAGGGAAAGGAGATGCATAGGGTGGATGGCACCCACGTACCCACGCACCAGCGCAGGCCAGGCAGGGTCACTGCTTACCAGTGTGGGAAAGCCATCACACCCTGCTGGGCATCCTGGCCAGGCGATTTCCTCCCTGCTTGGTTCATCTGCACCCCCGTCCCTGGGTTCCCTCCTGGCAGCTGCCATTTGTGGACCCTTCTCTCAGTCCCAGCCCCTTGGAATCTGCATGCACAGCCCAAAGTTGCAGCAAGGACCTGGGGAGTGGGCTGGAGGCTGGACCCCAGTGTGCCTTGGATGTGCTTTCACTTCCCTGTCCACTCTCTGGTCCGTCTGTGGCCCAGAAGGGATGCCATGTGGTTTGGGGTTGACTCAGAGGCAGCGGGGACCAGATGCAACATGGGATATGCAGGTTCCAAGTGGGAGCTGGGGATGGGGCTGGGAACGCATAGGGGTGTCTTCCCTCAAGGGAGAGCAAGGGAAGGGCAAGAGGGAGGGGGATCTATGACATGGATCAGGGGCTGGAAGGCCTGGGGCAGGGGGGAACTCCCCTGGCCTTCCCCCTCCTAGGCCAGTTATCTGGGGCTTGCTGAGGAAATGGAGAGAGAGAGCTGGAGGAGTCTGTCCGGCTCAGAGCAGGGCTGGGGGTGGCATCCGAGGGCCCCGCTCACTCATGAATCCAGCTGAGCAGCATGGACTGCACTCAACAGCTGAGATGCACCCGGGGCAGGAGCTGTTTGCTCTGAGCAGAGCCGGTGCAAGGAGTTGAGTGGTTGTAGAGCTTGCGGGGGCGTACGTTTGACAGGCAGCCTGTGTGCATATGATGCTCTGTGTGTGAGGCTGTGCGTGCTTGGGAATGAGAGAAAGGGGCTGGGTGTGAGTGAGAATGGGAGCACGGGGGTAAAAGTGTCTGTGTGTGTGTGTACACCTCGATGCTCCTCAGGGCTCCCATCCCACACACCACCTCACAACCAGGGACGGTCCCTCACTTCCCCACATGGAAAACCCGCCTGGACTAGCTGGGGATGACCTGCCTGCTTTTGAGCACTCCCCTGTGGCCCCACAACAGCCTTGGGATATCTGGGATGTTCTGTGGTTCTCTTGGTTTAGTTTATGCTTGGGGTTATTTTTTGTGTTTTCTCTTTTTTAAGCCTGCATGTGCGGCCTCTAATACAGTATTTTGGAAAATTGTGATACGGGCTTTGGCTTGGGGGCAGGGGAGGGGGCCGGGTGGGGGAGCGGAACGGCACGGCAGTCTCGGTGGATGCGAGTGGGGACATGAAGTGGAGGTCCCTCCCTAGCTTGCTCTGCCCTCGCTGGCCCTGGTGCTGACAGCAACCAGGCCATGGCAGCATGCCCTTCCGTGTACAGAGTGAATGGCTACCCAGGCCCTGGCTACTGCTGTAATGCTTTGACTGGCTGCACAACAGGTGCAATTAACCCTTCCACCCCAGGGTGGTGACACCCTAGTGCCTGCGTGCAACTCCTGCCTTGTCTTCACATCTGCACTCAGGGCCTGAAGAGTTAACTCAGTTTGCAACACCCCCTGGGATCCAGCTGGAGACAACTGCAGCCAGGGGAAATGTTGGGGTGCCCTTCTGCATGGCAAGATCACAGCTGCACTCCCAGAGCCCCCAGGCTGCGTTGGAGCTATAGGTTCACTTACAGCAGCTAACGCCTCTCGGGAACAGTCTGGTCCTTGACAGCTGAGGGGTGATTGCTGCATGCCCAAGCTTCCCAGCCAGGGGCATCTCCATCCCATGACACAGCAGGGACACACTAAATGCCCCCAGTGTGATGCCAGAGCCACCCCCAGCTCCACCAGTCCCCCAGCAAGGCCAGCCCCATGACTCACAGAGAGCAGATGACATCCCTGTATGAGATCTCGGGGTGGGAGAGACTCAGCTCCAGCTGTTTTTGCTGAACTCTGGGCACCAACTTGCACGTAGCCCCTTGATCTCCTTCAGTCAGGCCAGGGTGCGCTGGGCTCCACTCCAGGGCTCTGGCCCAGGCATCTGCAGATGATGCCCTGGGCTAGTGTCTGTGTCTCAGCTCCTCTCAGCCATGTTGCTCTGATTCACTTCCCCATCCACTTGCCAGCCCCCCATGTTGAGAGTCCATCTCTTGCATTGCTGACAGCTCCACCCTGCTTCCCCCTTGCACCCATGTCTGGCCAGGTGCCCACCCTGGCATTAGGCCCTCCCACCCTGCGCCAGGCCCACCCTCACCACCTGGCACAGGGACTGACACTTGTCACTGGTTTCAATTCCTTGTGAGGGGAAAAGAAAAGTAGTGGGGTAACCCTCCAGGCGGCTCCTGCCACTCGCTGGGCCTCCTGCTGCAGGCAGCATGTGAAGATGTTCTGCTTCACGTTATTCAGCCCTCGAAGTGTGCCCTGGCCCCTGGCCCTACATGACTCAGCCCAAGACCATGGAGCGGATGGGGCACAGAGAAAGGGGACAGGTGACTCTGTGTGTGGATGGGGATGAGGATGTGGTTCATGAGTCCCAGTTGCTGCTTCTCTAGCCAGAAGGTGCAATCCCAGGCATCCCAGCCATGCTCCCGGCTCAGGTCACAGTCATCTTGTCAAGCAAATTCTCCACCCTCTAGAGATCCTGGCGTTGTGCTCCTCCCCAGAGGCAGCTGCATTTCAGCAGTAGGGAAGAGAGGGTGAGGGGAACCCCCTACCACTCAGGCCTGTGTCAGTCCACATAGCTGCCCCAGGAGGTGCTTTTTTCCCTTTCCAGCTGGCTGGAAATGGGACCACAGCTCTCACAGGGCCAGTGCTCTGCTCCTATGCACCCATCCTCCAGCAGGTGAGGCTGTTTAGGCAACACAGGCGGTAACCATGCCTGGCAGGGCTGTGGGAGGATGCTGGCTGGCTGGTGGTAGCACTTTCCCTTTGGTGCCTGATGGAGTCTGCCAGAGACACCAGAGAGCATCAAGACAGATGAGTGCGAGGCTTGTTCTCCCCTGTTAAGGGAGAGACGTGACCAGGCGGGATAGGGATGGGGAGCCAGGAGATAATGAGGACTTATCAGCCCTGTCTTCATACAGGAGCAGCTGCCGAGATCAGAGGAAGGTGTGGGGCACCAGGGAGGAGTGACTCCCTGAGCCACGTGTGGAGGAAGATGGGTTTCGTAGGCACTCCAGTCTTATCCGGGCCAGCGTGGGGCCCTCTGATCCGCCCCAATGGCTAGGGGCAAATCCCGCCCACAGAAATGCCAGTTCCCACTAGCCACGCTCTGTGGGGAAAATAAAAGCTGATTAAAGTGCATCAGCAAGCAACCCTGTAATTAGTGCCCAGGATGAGCTGTGCGAGGGCTCAGCTTTGTTTCGGAGTGGCTGCCAGTTGCTTCTGGGGGCTGACAAGGAGATGAGCACCAATTTGCAAGTCATCATTGCTTTTTGCAGTGAAGTGCAGGCAGCTTATTCATGTTCCGGGCAGAGGGCACAAGGCGCTGGAGTGTGCCGGAGCATGGCCTGGAGGGGCCAAGCGCATGGGGCGGGAGAGGGCTGTGACCTTTGCAAGGGAGAGCTCCAGCACAGGCACCAGCCAGGATGTGCTGCAGACCAAGATGCCAGCACATATGAACTCCTTGTTGCTGTAAAGCACCGGGGGGCAGGGATGGGAGACAGCATCACCCATCCATCCATCCTCCCGGTGCTGCTGGGCACCAGAGGTGCTCAGTGGAGTGGGACTATGGGGGTCTCAAAGGGGATTTTGGCTGTGCTGGGGCTTGCCAGGCCAGTGGCAAGAGTTGAGCTCATTCATGAAGCCTCTATGCAGGCTCCCTTGCAACCATGCAGAGCACCCATGCCTGCCCCAAGGCATCTTAGTGTGCCTCCCTGATCCAGCCCACCCCTGGGCTTGCAGATGGAATGGAAAATTTCACCCTTTTACATCTCACCCAAGCTCTCTCCTCCCAGCAAAGAATTTTTCAAAGTCCTTCTGCAAACAAGACCTGCTCAGCAGGCCTTTTGATTGCAATTGCATGCAAATGAGTCCACCTGGAAATTTGCTTGGCACCAGAGAGGGATTAGAGCCACCTGCCGCCATCTCTGCTCCCTGACCGGCCTGCCAATGTAAACCACTGGAGCACTGGGGCCACAAAATGCCAGTGGGCTGGGGTCAGCTTGGTGCTTTCCTCATGAGACGGGCTTCTTCATTTCAGGGCAGTGGAGAGCCTGGCTCAGGGAGCAGACACCGGTGGCTCCAGCTCGGCCCTTGCAGAGAGCTGGTTCTCACCGCGTCCCTGCCATCCTCTGCACATCTTTCTCTGAGGGCTCCAGGGGGGCTAAGCTGGTCCCAGCTCTCACTGGACCCCTCACGGGGCAGATTTCACCCCATGGCACTTACATGACATGGTTTGACTTGTGTCCCTTGATTGGAGGGATCCACGTGTTTAATCACCAGCATCTCCTACAGGAGAATCTAACCAGCGTGGGGGTGGCTTGTGTTGCACGTACAAGCATCTCGGCTTCAAACCCAGCCATGGCTGGGGGGACGTCTGTCATGACACAAAGAGCGAGCAGAGAGAGGCAGGCAGTGGGAGAGGGAGCAATGTGCCCAAGGGCAGTGGGGTGGGCAGTGGCGGAGGTGGGAGAGGGCCCACTGCCACCAACCTTGCTCAGGTGCAGACGTGTGCTGAATTCCCATCAGTTCTCTCTGCTGGCTGCTCAGCTCGCGTCGGTAAAGTCTCCCGGTGCCCGCTCTGTCCATGCAAACAGACTCTCTGGCGGATGTCACCTCTGCTTAGAGCCACGACACAGCTGGAAGGGGGGCAGGAGGGAGCTTATTGATGCACCAAATTAAATGGTGACGGCGGCTTGTCTGAACACAACAGGCAGCAGCAGGCAGCCAGCCATGCACCTGCCGCCCAACCCCGTCCTCCCCTTGCCCTGGGCCTGAGCCCAACAAGGTGCTGTGCATCAGCTGTGCCTCTGACCTCTGGATCTGGCCCTTGACCTCAGGATCCGGCCTTGCATGTTCCAAACCTGGGATTGTGTTGGGAAAGCGTCTCTCTGGGAGCGGTGGAGCTGACAGCGTGTAGCAAGCAGCGGGACACTTGAGAGCGGAGGGCAGCAGGTGATGCTAGCCCAAGAGGAGAGTGAACGTGGGTTTGTGATATGCCAGGTGGAAGATTTAAAGTGTCCAGAGAGTGGTGGGTGCTGGCCCAGAGGATCTTGCTGCTGGCAACGGAGTTGGCTTAAAGGATCAGGTTGGGTTGAAACCCCTGCCCCTGGTGAGTTTGCTCCATTTAATTCTGACTCTTAACACCACGTCCATTCAGACAGCTGGACTTTCAGAAAGGCTGGATGTTGGGACACCCAGTGCCAGGCTGCTAGAGTTCAGCCTCTCTTGGCCAAATGCTCATGGTCTTGGCGGGTCTGGGGAAGATGCAGGCTGATTTCTAGGGAGGAAGCTCCGTGGGCCTGAGCCTCTTCCGGCTGCCGTAAGAACCAGGGGCGTACAGCACCGAGCGCAGTGAGGTCCTGGTAGAGGACAAGGGCTCCTAGGCCCTACCATCAGACAGATGACAACAGAGACTACACTGTCTGAGGGGCCCTTACCGAGAACCTGCCCCTCTTGCTTCCTCTGTCCTCATCCCACCCAGAATCCACCCAGATGTCCTACATGACCCGGAGCAAGGCCACAATCACCTTGTCAAGCAAATTCTCCACCCTCCTCCAGAGCACCGGAGAAATGCAAGTCCCAACTTCCACTGCAGTCCAGGGGACTTAGGCACCTGCACAGCACTCTGGCACCTACAAACCTACATACCTGGACCTTAGTCACTCATATCTAGGATCTTACAATAGGGGTCATAGCACTTCCCTACCTCCCTGGGGAGCTCTGAAGTTACATGCATTCAAGGCCCCCCAAAAGGTCACCATGAATGGAGGCAAAGGATCAGAAGGGAAGCAGAGGCCCCTGACAGGAGAGCTCCCCTGGGCTGGTCCTGCGTAGGGAGAGGGCTGCCGTTCTGTTCGGTGCTCAGCGCAACGTGATGCTGCTCTCAGCTGCAGGGTCTGGAAGCTGCAGGGACACAACTTCAGCGCAGGTCCTGCTCTGAACCAGCACCAGGCTACAGCTGCCTTCTCCCCTCCTGCTTCCCTGCAAAAGGAGGGAGGGAGCACATGGGAGAGGAAAGGAAGAAAGCATTCCCTGGGATCAGACAGCAGCAGAGCTGCTCCGGTGCTGTTGCCAGGCATGGCAGGGAGGGGGCTACATGCAGGCAGATGAAAACCCAGCGGTGCTGACAGATCGGATCAGTAACTTATTGGAAGCAGCTCATAGCCGAGCCTGGCACAGCCCAGGTGCAGAAGGGCCCTGGCACTCTCTGGCTGAGCCCCACCGGCCGGGGTCATGCTCAGCATGCCGCGGCTCCTGCAGGGAAGGTGAGCAGAAGCCCAGCACAAGCATGTCCATGCAGGACTGTTGCAGGATGGAGGAGAAACTCCACGCTGGCAGCAGCAGAAACATCTCCAATCACAGCCTGGGGGACCTGAGCTCCTTCCTGCCCCCTGACAGCACCAAGGCTGCTCGCATTGTCATAGCCGTGATCTACTCCATCATCTGTGCCCTGGGTGTGGTGGGCAATGCACTGGTGCTCTTCCTGCTGGGCTCAAGGCGCCGGGGGAAGATGTCCAGCATGATGTTCTTCGTGCTCAACTTGGCAGCCACTGACTTTCAGTTTGTCCTCACTTTGCCCTTCTGGGCTGTGGACATGGCCCTGGACTTCAGCTGGCCCTTTGGCAAGCTCATGTGCAAGCTGGTGTCCTCGGTGTCCACCATGAACATGTACGCCAGCGTCTTCTTCCTCACCGCCATGAGCGTGGCCCGCTACTGCTCTGTGGTGTCCTCCCTGAAGGCCAAGCAAGGCTCTGCCTCCCGATGCCATGCCAAGCTGGCCAGCGCTGTCATCTGGGTCTCTACAGCCATTGCTACCCTGCCACATGCCGTCTTCTCCACCACCCATGCGGTCTCCGGGGACGAGCTCTGCCTAGTCAAGTTCCCGGAGCTGGAGGACATTGACCCCCAGTTCTTGCTGGGCTTGTACCAGACCCAGAAGGTCCTGCTGGGCTTTGTCATCCCTTTGGCCATCATCTTGGCCTCGTACATCCTCCTCCTCCGCTTTTTGAGCCGGATGAAGATGAGCCGCAGCCACCCCCGCAGGAGGTCCCGGGTCACCAAGTTGGTCACTGTCGTGGTGCTCACCTTCTTCCTCTGCTGGCTCCCCAACCAGGCGCTGACGGCCTGGGGCATCTTCATCAAGTTCAACCTGATGCCCTTCACCGAGGCCTTCTATGCTGCCCAGGCCTACATCTTCCCCATCACCGTGTGCCTGGCTTACGCCAACAGCTGCCTCAATCCCGTCCTCTACTGCCTGGTGAGGAGGGAGTTCCAGGAGGCGCTCAAGGGACTCTTGCACAAGGTAACCCCCTCCTTCAGCCGGCACGCTGGCCAAGCCCCCCCGGCAGCCGAGCCCGGTGCCCCCAGCTCTGCCCCCGGAGAAGGAGCCGCCTCAGCCCCTGGGCTGCACCCGTGAGACTCTATGCAGCTCCTGACGGTTTATCTACCCCCGGTACATGCTGCCCACTTGCTTCTCCTCCATGCTTGCCAGCTTCTGGAAGGGATGCCAGGCTGGCCCTGAGCACGTGCCCAGCCCTGCACCTGGGCTTTGCCATGGGCATTCTCATTGGCACTCACTCAGGGTGGCATGCAAGTGGCTTTGCCGCCTCCTTAGCATACATGAGGCCAGAGCAAGCAGCGGAGCCAGCTTCCAGCCGTGCAGGCCTGGCCTTAGACAGCCCTGGGGAGCCCCAGACACCTGCTGGGTTCCTTTTCTGCCCTGCTGCCGGCCTTCAGCAAATCCCCTCCCCATCTTCGTGCTCCCATCTCGCTTCTGCCTGTCTCGTCTCTTTAGTGTGAGCTCTCCAGGGCAGGGCAGCATCTTGCTCTCTGTACGCGCAGCGCCCGGTCCGCTGGGGCATCGATCTCGTGGGGAACAGCTCCCGCAATAAACACCAGGACTGCCGGGCCAGGGACTGCCTTTTATTGCGAGCGTGTCCCACAGCGGGACCCAGGTCCCAGTAGCTCCACTTGCCAAAGGAAAGACAGCCTAGATCGAGGCGGGCAAGGGCGGCACGAATGGAGAACGTGGGGGTGGCTGGTGGAGGCTAGGCTGCGTGCAGACGGGATCACTAGGCAGCCAGGAGCAGTACCCCTGGTCCTCATGATAACAGAAAGCTCCAGCTGCTGGAGCCCTGGGATCACATCAGTCCCAGGTGGTTTGGGAAAGAAAAGAGGAGACAAAGCTCTGGTCAGATCCAGCAACAGGGGCCTGTGGATGGGGGGTGCTCAGGTGCTGGCTGCCCTGGGGCTGGCAGCGTACAGCCAGGTGTGTGCGGGTCCAGCCAGAGCACCTGGTGATCTCAGCCCACCTGGCATGCGCAGCCCTGGCTGAGCTGGCATCTCCCTCGGATCAGCATCTGGACTCAGCCTGGGCTCCCTCTGGCCTGGACCCGGAGCAGCTAACTCGAGCCAGCCTGGTCCCTGTTGCTGTTTTAACCTGCGTTAGCTAAGTCCAGCCAGCTGATGCCCCTTCCCTGCAGCACAGACAAGGCAGGTGCCTGGGTATGAGCTGGGGGCTTTGGCAAATGCTCCCAACCGGGCCCTGGGGCAACCCCTAGCGAGCACAGGGTGGGTCAAACACTGCAGCTGGAGCCCTGATGGTTTCCACCAGGTGGGGGCCTGGCCCAGGGCTTGCGATGGGGGTGGTGACAGGAAGGGGCTAGTGGGCAGAGCAGGGGCTGTGGAGCCAGAGGCCATGGCTCTGCCACCGGCAGCCTGGAGCAGGTCACTTGCCCCTTCTCTGCCTCAGTTTCTCTCCGTGAGTCCGAGCCCACCTCAAAGGGGCACGGCTGCTCATCCGCTCCCTTTCCTCTTCTGTCTGGTTACACATAAGGAGCAGGGCCTTATCCTGATGCCTTCTGGGCTGGGCTGAAGAAGCCAAGTCCCCAGAATTAGCATTAGCTCTGGTTTGCCGGGTGCAGATCAGGGAGACAACACCTCCAGATAAGGGTGAGACCCAAATGTCAGCTGGGTCTCAGCATGGATTAGCTGCTGTCTGCATCGCCCACGCCGCGCTGTGAACTTTCCCTATCACCCCATCGTGCTTTAGCCGAGGGAGACAAAGAGCTGTCCCTGGCCACGACCCAGCCTGCCAGGAAAATACCCGCCTGGCTGGAAGGCCCTGTCCAACTCCCCTTCCACAGCACGCTGCCACTGTGCCCCATCGCTAACTGGGTGGGGAAGACTTGGCACCCCCTCTTGCCAGCAAGGGTGACACCAGGGAAGCAGAGCAGGCTCTGCCAGGCTCCAGGGCTGGAGTGGGGAGAAGGGTGAGGCAGGGTCATCCACCACATGTGGCTCTGCTCCCAGGGAGTAAGGGGTCACACGGTAGCAGATCAGGCCTGGAGCTCTCCTGGGTGCGGAGCCCAGCCCAAGCCCCTGCTGCCCCCTGCCATAAAGTGCCACAAGTCCCCACAAGCCCTGATCTCAACCAGGACATGGTCATTGTAACACAGAGCAGCTCACCCATGGTCAGGCCAGCTGAGGGTAGAAGCCAGGAGCCCCTGATGCCAGCCCCAGCTCACCTAGCAGCTCACACCAGCTCCTCTCTGCAGACACGGAGAGTGGGGCCATGGCATTGGCAGAGTTGGCTAGCTGGTGGCCCATCTTCCCAGCCCACAGACCCTGGCATCAGGATGACCCAGCTGCAGTGCCCAGGCTGCCATGCTCCATGCAAGGCAGGGGCCAATCCCCAATGGGGACTCGCTGCTCTGCCACTGACTCCTGTGTGCCCCTGGGCAAGTCACGCAGCTGCTCCGCAGGGAAATCGGGGCATCCACAGCAGGGAGCAGCTTGCCTGCCCAGCTAGCAGGTGGCAGGGGCAGGAGCAAGAGCGAAAGGCATGGGCAAAGGCCTGAGCCAATTGCCAGCCCCACTTCCTGCCCCAGCTCCCAGCACCTGCTCCAGCCTGGGTGCAGGCCAGGCCAGCCAAGCCCCTCATTTCTCTAGGATACCGCAGACACCAGGCCCAGCCGTTGGGGCTTGGGCTCTCCTGGGATTATCCCAGATCGGGACTCCCTTTGCAGCGGGTGCACTGATAAGCCAAGCCCTGCACCAGATCGGAGGCCTGTGTCTGCTGCCTTCAGCAGCAGGTGACACCAGCCCCTTGAGAACTGGCAAACTCGGCCCGCAGATTGTAGCCCCCGGGCTGGCAGCGGCTCTGGTCAGCTGTGCTTGCAGGATGGCGTCCCAGTGCGAGGGAAAGGAGGGGTGGTGAGTCTGCTGCAAAGTGACAGGCAGCCCCAGGGGTGACAGCGATCTCATTGGGGCTCTGGCAATCTGGGTTTGACAGATGCCGTCAGTGCCCCACATGGCTCCGCTTTGACACGGGGCTGCTGGAGGGGGGCGCGGAGACTGGCAAGAAATGCAACCGTAGAGGCCGCTGCTCCCAATGCGGCTGCTCCTCACGCACCCCCACGATGGGGTCCCAGACTTCCCCCTCGTCCCCCATGCTGGCAAAGCTGCTGAGACCAGCCTGGCTCTCCACTGCTGCAGTGTGCAGTGCAAGCCGGCTGCCTTCTGTCCCATTCCCAGCAGACGCGGGGAACATCAACAGCCTTCCCCTCGGCAGCAGCCCGGCACTTGTGGACTGCGATCCGATTCTTCCCCCTCGGTGAGGCAAACAGCACCCGTTCTCCAAGCCTCTGGTCTTGGGATGAGCAGAGACGGGCTCTCTGCTAAGCAGCACCTGGTACTACTCTTCCTCCCTCTGCCGGGGCTTGGTGCTGAGCTCCTGCCTCTGCACTGGGGCCATCAGGGCTCCTCATTCTCTCCGGAGCAAGCTGGGCTGTAAGGAGAGTAGCGGGCACCTGCTCTGACCATAGCATGGGCAGAGAACGGTTTCAACAGCCTCCTTGCTGGAGCCCCAGATCCTGCACCAGCCAGCCTAGCACCACGGACATGTGGCCCACTTGGTCCAGAGTATTCTCCCCTCAGCTGCCCCTCCTGGCAAGGTCCCTGGCAAGGTCCCCTCAGCTCTGCTTCCTCCAGTGCCTCAAGAGGGTCTGCAATGCAGGCAGGAACAGAAAGCCCATGTCCCCTCCGCTCAATGCCTGCCCTTCCTGCAGCCCACCCTGTTTCAGGCAGCCACAAGGAGGCAGAGGCCCATAGCAGGTGGATCTCTGCCGGTCTCTTATCAGCCAGCTGCACTGACCAGCTGCCTGCCCTGGCAGAGCCCAAGCTGCCTTTGAAAGGGCAATCTTTGCATCTGATTATCACAGGAAAGGCACCTGCCTCTCCCCCTGGCTCTGTGCTTCTGGTGCCCTGGTGCCCATGGGTTTAGAGAACCCCCGGAGGCCAGCAGGGAGCACACAAACATGGAGATACATGGGACTGGGGATCTCAGGAGGGATCCAGGGGCCAGGGAGGTGGCTGGGCTCGATGTGTGTTGCCCCACGGGCTCAAACTTCAGACACGAGAGCTCTCGCGTGCTGCAAAGGCAGATTCAGCTGCAGTCACGAGGCAGGGTCTTCATGGGGCCAGGCAATTGCTTTAAAAATTGGCTCAGTACAATGGAATGGGGGTTGGGAGAGCCCTGGCAGGCAGCAGCAACATGTGCCAACACGAGCCTACTACCCATGAAGCTGCAGCATCTCCCTGAATGAACAAATGTGCCAACAAAAGCCTTTGCTGTGGCCTGCACTACAGCCTGGAGTGGGGGGTGTCTAGCACGGCCACCAGATTGTAACACCCTGCAGGGACCCCGAAGGATGGAACAGGAGTTGGAGGAGCGACTGCACAGGGAGGGGGGTCTGTGGGGTAGAGGGAAGAAGGGACACGGCGGAGGGGAGCTGGGCTTCACCGGCGACTGCAGGGAACTGTCAGCGCCTTGCTCAGGGCTGCACGTTCAAAAGCAGCAATTCGCCAAGGAAGGCAAGAGACAGAGGCACTGCACCCCAGAGCCGAGGAGCTTTGGCCTCCCCCACACTGGGAATGGCAAGCCCTGATGACACCACGTGCAGATGCTCTTATCCCAAAGCGACCTGCTATTCCTGAACAGAGCAGTGCTTTGACATCCCAGCCTCCCTCCAGCTGAATGTGCTCCCACGCAGAGACAAGCCCTTCCACCCTTTCCCGTATTCTGCACACCCTTCCCAGGCATTTCCCTATGGATGTGACAAGAGATACAGCTCCTGGAGCCTCCCAGCTCCTGAGTCACACATGCTGTGTGCAGTGCGTGTGGATTTGGAAGTTATGTGAGCATCTGGGGGGGGGTGTTGAATGCTCCAGACCAGTACATCACACAGCTCCGGCATCTCTGGATAGTCACACTTCACATCAGATAACATAGGGTTGGGGAAAACCGCCCCAGTTCCAGCTGCTTGGACCCATCACTGGACTGGATCCCACTGCCCTGACCCCCTTGGTTTTCCTGGGAACTTGGTCTCCTGCTGCTCCTCCCACAGCAGGGAGTCCAGCTCCCCTCCTTCCTGACTCAGTCCGCCAGCTGACACTGGGCCTACCACAGCCCTTCGATGGACTGGGGGGGCCCCGGGAGTCAGCTGGGCAGGATGATACAGCAGTAGCTCACCCTGCTGCATAAACCCATGGGACAGTGGTTCCCCCTGGAGGCAGGAGAAGCAGCTGCCCACACGCACATTTCAAGGTGGTTTAATACTTATAAAAAGGGACAATATTTTTAAGTGTATAAAAAAAAGCTGGTAGGAAAAGTGGCACAGGCTGGGACAAGTCAGGAGAGTCTGTGTCAGGTGAGCAGTGATTCTGCTTTTCTTCTCTTGGCTGCTACAGGGCTGGGACATTCCTGTTTCACACTGTCACAGCGAGACTTGGGCACGAGCCCCAGGCCAGGGCAGGTCCCGCTGGCCCCCTCCATGATGCCGTTGTGGTGGGAAGGGGATTCAGCCTTGGCTGGACAAAGAGCATCAGGGTCAGGCTTGAGGGGCTCTTCGGGCTTCACCAGCTCTGCCCTCTCCACCACCACTGGCCCTCTCCACTCAGGGATCTCCAGACCCAGGTGCTTCATCAGCTTCATCATGACTTCATCCACATAACCATGGATGCGCAGGTCGGCTTGTCTGTCCTGGGGCCAAGAGGCAGAGCACAGATGTCAGGAGCTAAACTGCGCTCTCCCCTTCCCCTTATGCACAACATGGCACCCCCCATGGCAGTGAGGGGAAAGCTTAGGGTAGAAACAACCCTGGCCCCGTGACCTACCAAATGCACCTTGTCTGGGACTAGGAGAGGACTCTGGATGTAGTGGCTTCAATGAGCCATTGACAGTCAGCTGGGGCAGGCTACTACCTGTTTAAGTTCCCCCTGAGATGGTTTGTTTGGACCATTATTCCCCCCTTAATAAACCCTGCTACAGTGGGGAAGCTACCTTGGTAGCTTGCAAGCTTGCAGGTTTTGGGGTGGGGGCTTGAGCCAAGATAGAGAATTTGTATCAAACCCTTAAACTGAACCTGGCTCTTGCTACCGCTGTCCAGTGCTCAGAAGAATAATGATGTACTGGGTCAGATTTACTGGCCTGTCTACAGCCTAGCCTGGCCCTGGAGCCTCCCTGCCTGGTACCACAGTGAATGGGAGCAGTGTGAAGGGCAGGGACCACGTGACATGTCCATCCAGACTACAACAAGGCAGGAATCCTGTCCTGGGGGATCGTTCCCACCCCTCACTTCAACAAACCTTGGGCACATAGGAGAGTGTCAGTGCTCCGTGCCCACGACACAGAGCTGAGCACAAACAAACCCCTCGATGTCCTGCACTGCTCCCAGCGAGGATTTTCTGCCCAGGAATCCTCTGTATCAGCTGCGATTTGATTCACCAGAAGATACACAGGGACTTACTTCTCTGCTCTAGATATTTATTTTTAGGCCCAGATCTGTGGTCTCTGGCAATGGGAACACAGCCAGGGCCCTCGCTGATGTGGGCCCACCTCTTCTAGCTGGTGCCAGCAGCAGATGGCCTGACCCACTTTTGCAGGATTAAATCAAGCGGACACTAGAATGATGGCTGCTGCTGCTGTCAACCTACATCTGACAGACCCTGCACGCAAGGTGCCAACCAAAAGTCTTCTCACTCACGTGTTTAGTTGCTTGGAGATTGACAATCACCAGCTTCCCACCTCTCTTTTTCGTGATCAGGGGGAGATTGCCACTGGGTTTGATCTGAAGAGAGGTTCCCAGAGTGATCGACAGGTCCGCTTTCCTGAGGGAAGAACGTCAAGACAGCCAGTAGAGCCTTTAATGCAGAGCAGAGCCAGCGTCTGTGAGAAGTCCCCATCTCCAAGACCTATGACAGACCCATCTCCCTCGGTGTAGGAGTCAACCTCACAGCCCCAATTAATTGGCCACAAGTGATGAAACCGTAACCCAAGACAACACACGAAAACCAGTGTTCAAACGCCCTCAGCAAGCTCCGATCAGAATCGACTTGTTCTGTGGGACAAGGGCTGATTTTTTTCTTCTGAGTCTGTACAGCACGGAGCCCGACAACATCCCAGTGTGAGATTGTGGCTCCTGGTGCTACCACCATACAGTAAAGAACTAGCCTTTGGAGACAGCTCTGTGAACAGCTGCCCACAGGTAGGAAAATGCCCTCTCATATCCTCTCATCCTTATCTTACCTTATTTTACCCATCCTTATCTCCTGTAAACTTGGAGAAGGGGACCTATATATTTGGCCTAGCTCATTAACCTATAAAGTACTTCCAAGAGGTTGTATTAACATCAGGGAATGTGACCTAGAAAACAATCCCTCCTGCCCGGGTAAGAAAAGGTGCAGTCAGAGGCATCTTACCTAGCCAAAAATGTTTCCCCCATGACTGGCAGAGTTTGCTGGTTAAGGATTAGCTACCACCTCCCTGGCAAGAGGGAAAGGGAATCTCCATAGAGGGAACTCCCAAGTGCATTTAATTTCCCTCAGACCCTTTGCAATGCAGTGTCACAAGCTTCCAGCACATCCTCATGCTGCTCAGCTGCAGCCCGGCTGACTGGGTAAAATCCTAGAGCAAAGGTGATGTCGCAGGGGACTGGCAGGTCAGAGTCCAAGTATCTGAACAGCTCCTTTCATGCTGGGACCTAGGAGCACTGTCGGAGATGTTGAATGTGGCAGAGGGGCCGGGGGAGAGTACAGGGGCCTGCCCTCCGCTCTGAGCACCACTACCTGCAGGCTTCATCGGCCAGGCTGAGGTCCCGGTCAGGTAGCGAATCTTCCCAGTCCAGAATAGTGTCTATGAGCTTGCCCCTGGAAAGAGAACAGCACAGGACAGTGCACCTCAGTACTGAGCACCACCTCAGACTCACCGTGACATGGGGAATCTCAAGGGCACAAAAGTCAGTCATGTACCAAGGGGATTCACAGAAATGCTCAGGCTGCAGCCAGGGGGCACCAGCCAAAGATGTCCTCCTCCAAGGAGACCCTGCAGGGGGTGGGGAGGGAATATCGCATTCCCGCGATGCAGCACATACCTACAGGCACGGAGACCACGCGCTTTAGTGACGTTGCACAGCCTGCCTGTCGACTTGAGGCCCATGCTCCCCACCACGGTGTCCCGCACGTACTGCCTTCACATGCAACGAGAGAGGACGCAAGTCAGGCTCCAAGGCGACACAAGTCCTCACGCCTGCCTGCTGATGGCAGAGAGGGGACAGGTGGATGAATGCACCCATCGGCTCTCAGCCCATGGAAATGGGGGAGCCAGAGGAAGCTACAAAGGGCAGAAACCAATGGGAGATCCTGCCATTTTGCAGCTGGGAGAAGGCAAAGATCCACCTCTTTGGCTAAACGCACTCCCGGCACGATGCAAACAGAGTCGTACTGGAGAGCAGGGCCAGATTCCAAGTTATGAGGCAGCTTGATACCTTTGTGGACTTAGGTCTTTGTCTTTAAACCTGGGGTCTCCCTGTGGCCACTCCCCCCACCCAGTCTGAGCAACAACTTGAAAATTTCAGCTAAGGCTCTGGAAGCCCAAAACTCAATGAACGCGACCCTTTTACTAAGCCCTGAGCACACAAGCCCAAGGCCCTGCAACAGGGCAGCACCGGGGGTATTTCAGCCTAATTGTGATGGCCACAACCTGATTAACAGGCCCAGGAGCCGTGGGGATCCTCCAGCAGGGCGCGCACAACTGATCTCCCACGCAGCACCAAGGGGGAAGTGTTCGTTTAGGATTGTACAGGACATATCTACTCATAAGCCAACAGCCCAAGATACGGTCTTGCAGGCTTGGCTGCCGGACGCCCACGTGCCGATGGGAAGCGTATGCCTACTGCTGCTCTAGGACTGCGACGACACAATCCGATCCCCTGCGAAACCCTCCTGCCCCAGAGATGTGCTCTGGAGCCGAGGTGCCTATTAGCACAGCCGTCAGACTCGCCCATGTTGCCAGCCTACTACGGGGAAAGTGAGCATTGGAGCAGCGGGGCTGACATACTTGCCGCATTTCACACATTCCTCCACAAACATGTTCCCGTGCAGCTCGGCCAGCTTGTCCCTGCGGAGGAGACATGACAGATTAACATGTGCCCGGGAGGCCGTGGCCCCCCTTGGTGACATGGCAGGCTCTTGCATGCAGTTGTCATGGACACGAGATGCCCGAGCAGCCTGTCGCTGAGGCTGGAACGGTTCCTAGCTGCCGTGAAGGCTGCTGGGCTGTGGGGGATAGGGCTGTGCTGGCAGGGGTGAGAGCATCTCACGCATGGCTCTTTGCAATGAGGCCACCCCACAGGTGAGCTGCTATATTTTCTTGTGTGGAGTTTGCTGCAACCCCTCCTGCCTCTGGGATCCCGCTGTGCTGGGCACTGTAGAACCATCTTCACCCCAGTCATTTTTCACATGAAAAGTTTGCAACTCTGGGATAGGACACAAGGAGTTTCCCCTTCCAGATGCTACTGGGGTGCAAATAGGAGACGGCCTAAAGCCCCGGACCCCTTGTGCCCTACGTATGCACCCAGCGAGAGCTCTTACCCCCTGAACAGACAAGAGAGAGACTGAGAGGGGAGCCAGGGCAGGGAGAGGGGATGTGCCTTGCCCCAGGTGAGACTAGAATCCAGATCACCCCCTTGCAGGCCAGTATCCTTCCCCTGGCATTAGTCTGGCTCTCAACACACTCTCAGTCTTTGGTACAGGCCCTTGTGCACACAGAAGACAATTCTCAACTCTCTCACCTTGTCAGCTCCTTGCCCACCGCAACTCAGAAAGACAACGGATCAATACTGAGAGCACGACTTTATAGAGGCAACTGCCAGAATTCAGCTGCCCTGTCAACCACAGCTTTATCCCCATCCCTTTGAACAGTGGTTCTCAACATTTGTAGACTCAAAGCCCCGCTGGATAGATTTGAGGCCCCCCTTGGAATATATCAGCTCCTAGTTTTCACTTTGTGCCTACCGAAAAATAAGAGAGCAGTTTTTCTGTTGCGAAGAACTCAGAAAATCCACAATTATGGGTCTCTATTTGAAATCTCTTGGTTTATCATGCAAAACATGTTTGCAAACCTAACAATGCTAATATTGCATAGCACTCTGTTGTACCCCTGAAGGGATCTCAAGGCAACCCAGGGTGCTGCAGCACCCTGATTGAGAACTGCTGACTTAGAGGCTAACCTGTGACACAACAGTCCAGCACAGAGAAGGGGGACACAACCGGCTCTCTGGTTGTACCTGCTAAAAAAAACCGGAATTTCAAATTCCACTGCATTCTGTGATCATTTCTCTCCACCCGTTCTGACCCCAAACTTTTGATTTTTATTTAGGGTCAGTAATGAAATTGGCCTATAGCATCTGCAGACATGTATTGGATTCTGTCCTCCTGTGGTTCCAGCTCTTTGTTGTTAATTGAATCAAGACAGACCTTCACCAACAGCTGTAGCATCTATCTGATCTGTGAGCACCTCAGAAACCACCTTCCTTGCCGCTGTGAGATTGCCGGCGCCTCTCTGCAGAGCCCTTTGTTGTGGAAAGCGCAGGTGATTTGTTTAGATCAAAGCTTCCTGTGTACTCTGCACAAATTTCACCCATGCTTACGGTGGAACGAAGGGAATGTAAAGGCATGCTCTTCCTGTATGTGCCACCATCAATGACAAAGACATTCGCCAAACTTCTTCAAACCAGCCAGCAGAGTGATTGGGACTGCTGAAGAATAACTGAATTTCAACAACACGCACACTTCAAGGCCTTGGGTCAAAGCATGTCAGCGTGTGGTTAAGTCACATGGATCTCAGCTGGCCTTAAGTGCTGCTGAATGGGGGGGCCTTTGCGAGGTTCAGAGAACACCCTCCACAGCTGCATGCCAGGGTGACTGTGCCCAAGAGCGTCTGGCCTTTTTCCCTTTCATTTTCACCATCTGAACAAGTGGCACAGACCTCTGTTGCGTTTTCCTGTATGCTCAAATGGCATCTACAGTGAGTTAGAAGCAATATGCTTCTAGTGATTGGGGTGCTGCTAAGATACAAGCTAGCAGGAACACTTGAATACTGAGAGTGACCCACAAGTCATTTCTAATGCGGGAACCAGCCACCTTGCGGTAATGATGTTCATCCTTTTAGCTCTTCCTGCCATTTTTCTAGCGTCTTTGCTCACAGTTTGTAATGGCCACGTCTGCTGCCTCTGCCTGCCTGACACAAAATTATCCTGGACAAATTGCTTCAATAGCTTCTTCAAACCCACTTGGGTTTTGCAATGTGGTGATACTGAAATGAAGGAAGGTTGCAGCTTTCTTGGCAAGAGCAACTATTGGCTTGTCAAGTGTTTTCGGGGCATCGTTGCTGTTTGATCTTTGCCATTTTTGGGGGTGTTAGTGATGAACAGTGATTGCTCTCGAATGAAATGAACTTGGGGCTATTGGAAGCTGACCACTGGGATTTAAATCATTTCCTGGGCTAAGTGGTGATAATACCGAGGCCGCACATTCACAGGGTTGCACTCAACATCCTGCTTGGCTACTCCAACATGCAAAATTTCACTCAATGACACTCGAGGAAAAAGAACCAGATTATCTGTGCTCCAAACCGAGGGCAAATGTTTCTGCTTAACAACTCCGGAGAGCGTAAATACAGCTTGTGAGAAAAGTGAGACCTCTTCCCAGCTCTGGTCTATTAACTCACTCATCATCTAAAGCATCCTTGAACGCCACATACTTTTGCGCTCCCCCTGATATTTGGTCTTTAACAAATATTAGTCACTCACTTGCAGTAGATATCAGGAGCTCTCACTTTGGCTGCAGTGAGAACAAGAAGCCACCACTGATGGAGCTCATCACTAGAGACTGAGAAATAAGTCATGCTGGCTGACCTCATGTAGGAACACACCCTCCAAAGCCACGTCCAGATTTTGGATGCTAGCGAGCCAAGCCGACAGGGGCTCACAAATCAGCACATTCCCTTTCCTGTCATCCAGGGAGAGTGAGCACCACATATCACCTGCAGCCCTTCATCGGATAACTAGCTCCTTTGGGGGCTTTGCTTAAATCAGCTCCAAAGCAAACCAAACTGAACTGCACACAGGCACTCAGTGTGGATTAACAGTGTCTGCAGAGATGCTGTTTAGGAGCATTTTCTTGGGTGGATAAGTCTTAAATACAGCATTTGGCTTCCCCATAAGGTTCCAGAAAGCCCAGACAGCCTAGCAAGGCTGGCTGCTTGGACAACACCATGTCAACCATTTCTATGGCCTTTCTTCAGCCCCTTCTCCCAGCCCCTTTCCTGTCATTCTCCTGCTTCGATCAAGCTGGCAGAGGAGAGCATAATTTATTCCAAACACGCAGGCTTGCAAAGCAAATAACCCCTCTGTCTTGAGGGCTGCAACTGTTCTGCTCTCAGGTATTTTTGTAATACACTGATGCTCCCCCTGGAAAAAAAAAAGCCTCTACTCCCAGGTGGAGCTAACGGAAAGGCTGGATCCTCTGGAGACAGTTTTACATCTCTTGTCACACTATAAAACACATTTCAGACTCCACCTTTACATGTGCGGGGACTCAGCTCCTCCAGGGGCTAGCTACGGACTGGGGGGCGCAGCTCCGTACCCTGTTCCCTTGTTAGAACCAGGACACAGCAGAGAAGTAACCACATCAAGTGATCCACAGTTCTGGTAATTTAAACATGAACCTTAAACGCAGGGTGATCTCCATCTCTTGCCCCTTCTAAGAGGGGTTTGCAGATGTACATAGAAGCAGGAGCTTAATTCAGAGCCAATTTGGATGCCAGGCAAAGCTTTGTCACTGAACAGGGAGGGCTGGCACTGTGTTTAGCTATTTTCCTTCAGGAAACCCAAGTTAACTAACCTCCCCCCAGGGGGGTTGAATGAGCAGCTGTGCCTGAACAAGGTGAGGAAAGGGTAAGACTGGTGTCCCCAGCAGGCTACATGCAACATCTTTGCTAGCAGTCAGCAAAGACCATTATTCACACCCAAGTTGTATGGAAGGCTGGTCCTGGGAAGCCAGCTGCTGTCTAAACAGCAGCATATGCAGGCTGGAGAGGGTCTCCTTATCATTCTCTTCTCAAACACCTGAGCAGTCCCTGGTGATGGCATAATCCCGTGCGTCATGCTCCACCTCAGGGCTGTGTGTGCCAGGAACAGGCCTCATGCAGACAGGGTCTCGGTGCCAAGAGTAAGTGAGTGCATCTCGAGCATCTCAGTAAGTTGCAGCCTTCAGCCAGCAAATGTTCAGCCCCTCTGAGGCCACGTGTGCCCCCCACGCACTCTGTCCCGGGCAGTGCCACACACAGCACCCAAGCTGCCTAAGCTGAGAGATGCTTGAGACAATGGAAATGTACCCAGTTTCACTCGGGAGGCTGACCCCACGGAGACCCAAGGGGCAGGACCAGCTGACCAGGACCATCCTCCCCACTGGCCTGCAGGAGGAGTGGAAAGACGAACACAGCCTGCCCAAAGCCTCATCCTCCCAGATCCCACAATGCATGAGGTTTCCAATAGCTATCGATACCGGTTGTCCTACAGAACTTAGCGCTGCCCTTTAAGGGGCTCGAGCAAATCCATGGGCATCCTATGCAGGTCACTGGCACTTTTAAAGGGCTTCATTTAAGAGCAGCAGCACTGGAGAAGGCAGTCTCATCTGCCCCATGGAATTACCAAGACAGAGTGTTACATGGCCTGTGTTGTATCCTCCCTCCCCAAGCTTTTCCCACCCCCTTCTCCACCTCTTTAAAGTCCATTCAGTTTACTTCTAGCCCCTGAAATGCATCCCAGTTGCATCCCTGCCACATGTACCTGCTGCGGCAGAGGGACAGATAGAGGCTCAGCACAGACAGGGTCAGGCCCCGCTGCCCCTAACACTGCAGGAATTCATACCCCAGGCATTTGTTTGCTGCTCAAGACTGCTGGGAAGCATTGATACCTGCTCTGCTAGGTTTGCACATGCACCTCCATGCACAGGCCTGCAGAAATACACCAATATGAGGGGCCAAAGGGCTTGTCACAGGCCCTGCCAGGCATGGAGGGGGTGATGCTGTACCGTGGGAATCCAGAGCGGACGTGCAGACCGTCCACATTCTGGCTGACCAGGAACTTCAGGATGCCGGCTCTCTGCAGCTCCAGCAGCGCCATGTGGGTCTTGGAGGGCTTGGCATTCTCAAAGGTGGTGTCAAACTTGGGGGACAACCCCTTTTCCTCCATGGTCCAGACGCCATTGGGCCCCCTGCGGCAGAGAAGAAGGGAGAGAGGTCATGGAAAGAGCAGGGGCTTGGCAGCAGTCTGTGGATGCAAGGCCAGTCCATGTTAAGGGGTAGCGCTGCTAAGTAACAGGACCTGCTGCCAGGGTCTGTCTAGTCTTGATGTATTGAGGACAGAGGTGGGGCTTCAGCAGCGATCTTGGCGCTTCTTTTAATGCAACTGCAGGCTACAATTTAATGCTGAACAGGATGAGAAAGAGCAGGGCAAGAGCAAGGACCTGAATCAAAGCCAAAGCTCAAGGCACCAGCAGGCAGGCAGCTTCCACCCGGTCCAACTGGCCCTGAACTGCCAGTCAAGACCTCCTGCAGGCCATGGGGCAGGGAGGTCATTAGGTTTAATGAGCAGGAGTGGGGCAAGGACACATCAGCAGCAAGAGCTGGGTGCTGATAATGAGGCAGGAGGGGAGTCTATGGGCAGGGTAACCTGAGGCAGGGTCTGCACAGGGCTCACTTGGTCCTGTGAAGTCAGTGCATCCTGCCTGTCATGGAGACAGACGAGAGTAACAGGAGCAACAAAGCCAGGGGTGTCTGCAGAAGCCTGTGTCCCTCCTGCCTGACTCTTCTGACCTAGTTCTGCCCTTGGCATGTAAGCGACCCCCTCACAGGTACCGCCAGGTAACATGCACTGCCCCCACCCATCCTCAAGCCCAGACCACTGACCCCTGCAGACTGCCTGAGAAACCACAGGCAGGCTAATTACCACTGTGGTGACTGGGCTGATTAGTGTGCCCCTGAGTTAATTAGCCCCCCACAGCACTGCAAAGCCATAGCTGCCTTGCTTGTGGTTTGGGAGGCAGCCTGCCAGGAGCAGTGCAGCAAGCTAGAGGAAGCCACTGTAAAGTTTACCTCCTAGGACCTGGCTTAAGCAATCTCTGGGTTCAGCCTGGACAGCAGCACAGGCCCCTGCCTAGGGAGCAGCGCACCACGTGGCAGCTTTGATACGGGATAAGACTGGTGGGACCCAGTTGATCCCACCGCAGGCTGGATAACGTCACAAGGAAGTTTTTCCCATGCTTTGCAGAACACAGCAACAGCGCGTCCACTTCTTTCCCTGAGACACCAGCCCATACACTGAGCCTCTGTGACCAAGACCTTCCTTATGTCCTGCCCACACTGTTTTTTCTTCATTTTCATCCCATCGCTTTGAATTACACCCCATTAAGACATCCCCTCTCCTGGGTGCTTTCACACCAAGGCAACACCTGCTCTTGCCTGGGTTGTGATACACCCTTGGGCAACTTCAGTGTCCTTCATATCTGAGCATGGATCATTGCTATTAGAGCAGAGCCCTGTGGCCCAGGGGAACCACCTGGCAGGGAGGTCTGGGTACCACCGCATCACCAGGGAGTGGGTGTATCTAGAGGAAACTGCACAGCATCAGTTTATACACACAATCCCCTCTCTGGAGGGATGAGATGCATGGGTCTGGCTGTAGCCACAGCTCAGCAGTGAAGGGAACCAGCAGGGAGCAGCCACAATGGGAAACTCAACTATGGCAAAATACCAGGCTTAATTCCCCAAGAAATCACCCCAGTGGGCACCACAGACCCAACCCCTGCTCACAGGCTCCCCAAGCTGGTCTCCAAAGGCATGGTGTCACCTGCTGTTTAAAAGAACAGACCAGCCTAGAGATAGAGAAGCTACTCAGTATTAGGAGACAGCCTCAAATGTAACTGCCTAGCTTCACAGAGTCTCTCTGGGCTCCCCCGCTACCCAGCACACACCAAACAACTGTATTGGGTGGTGACAGCTGGGATACGGTTTTACTACCGCAGAGCCGGCACCAGAGAAATGTCCCATGGATTTCAATGCACAATCACAGCCCGTTTGGGCCACGATGTAGCAAACCTGAGACCAAACTACAGCTAAGAGCTCATAGAAGGAAAGCAAACTTTTCACATCCCAACGTCCCACAGCCACAGAGAAGCGTTTTGAAAAGAAAAAAAAAAATCAGTAAAACAACAGTTATAAGTTAATGAGGAAACAGGACATCTTCCCTACAGCACTTAACCCACTGAGTCACTAAGCCAGGGCTTGCAATGCTGCCAGGATTAAATCACTTTTCATTAGCAAACACCATCAGTGTTATCGCTCCAGGCACCTTCCATCACACCCCCACTCTTCACAGCCCCCTTCCTCTGCAAATCTTAAGGCATTTTCTAAACTTTTGCAAAATGCCTCTGCCTGCTTCTCTCCCAGAGACCCAAGCAAGAATACTGTGACCCCAAAGCCTACGCCAACCATGCAGTTTCTCCAATACAAGATATCACCCACATGAATTCTTGCCTGTGTACTACGGAGATTTTATAGGTGGTGAAACCAAAGAACAGAAATATAAATCAATTTTTATAGCCGCATAGCAACCAGGAGAAAAAAGCTAAAGCTCAGCACGCCACGTTACCCATAATCCCACTCTGCTTCAACAACACAGGATCTCTCTTCCTTCACCTGAAGTCGGGGATCCCTGCGGCTGTGCTGATCCCAGCCCCCGTGTGAAACACCACGTTGGAAGAACACCTTATCAGGTCGGCTAGCTCATGCACTTTCCTCTCCAGCTCCTCCGGAGGATCAAAGATCTGAAGGAAAGAAATGGAGACAAAAGTAAGTTTCCCACATGGCCCCAAGTGCAGGAAGAGTCAATACATCGTTTCTCTTCAGCCGTGGAATAAACCTAGCATGGAGAACAAGATCACATGCTCCTGATAGGTAAAGTGCATCAGCACTTAACAGGGTGGAAAGAGCATTGTCTTAGAGAGGATACTTCTTCCCACTCAGGACATCCAGATCTTCCTTTCCAATCTACTTCAGAGAGGCAAGGAGCTGCTCTGGGTTTCAGCAAGTGATTAACTGGCTGAGAAATACTTTGCCCTCTCACTGCTGCTCTCTTCAAATCAGGTAACAATAGATACCCTCCCTCCTTGCCTCCATTTTACAGGTGGGAAAACTGAGGCTTTACTAAGGGACATGGCTTGGCCACAGCAGAACCAGAAAAAGAACTCAGGGCCCCTGAGGCCCAGCCCTGCCCCTCTCAGGCAACTAATAAATGCCGCCAGCCTGCAGGAAGGATGCCACAAGAGACAGGCAAAGCCTCCAGACCAAAGGCCCCAATGCTCACTGCCCGTGGGCGATGCTGCTGAGCAACACGTCAAAGGCAACCCTAGTCTCCGTGGGGCTGGACGGACACCAGCGGTTCGCTGGGGTGACAGGCCCTGCTCCACTGAAGGGGACAGACGTCAGGGTGCAGAGGCCCCCTGCCTGCCAGGCTGACAACCCACGCCTGCCATGTCACATGTGTGGGGGACACACCCCAGCTGCAGGTGAGCACTGGCGCCCACCCAGGCAGGAAGCAGAGCCCAGGCCTCCCCCACCCCTGTGACCTGCTGCCCCACGCTGCCCCCGATTCCTGGGGCAAGGAGCGCCCAGGCCAGGGGCACACACCAGCACCCCTGCGGCAGGCTGGGCTAGCGGGGCTTGCCCCAGATCATGCGGGGGACACACCCGAACACCATGCTGTCCCCCCTGCGCCTGCCAGAGTGGGGGCACGGGGAGCCGAGGTGCCCTGTCCCCTGTGCAGGGGACGGAGGGAGCCAAGGCAGAAAAGGGGCCAGACCCCAGGAGGGGTGATGGGGGGCGGGGCCAGACCCAAGGGGGCGGGGCCAGACCCCA